AGACACCCCTCAAAGGAAGAAAGCAGGCAGTAAATCCCAGGGCATGTTACCACACATCCCTAAGGTCTATGTCAACGTATGTGTCTTGTGCCTACTTATACCTACTAATGTGTTGCAGGGTCTCTTGCATGATGCACTCTACGATATATTCCAGGTCATGGATGGCAAATCTTTTGCCGTTCATCAACTGGCAGACCAAAAGAAGGTTATTGACTACGAAAATCATGTAGGACCAGGTCCAACCAATCCACCACAATGGGATCATGGTCCTAATTGGGCTCATTCTTGATAGAATGGTACCATCATTGGGTGGGTCATTGATGCAGCTTTGACTGCGGATGTGAGTAGGTCAGGGTTGATTAGTCGTGGCATAGAGGCATTGGGGAACAACCCCGAGTTCATGGCACATCAGATATGAGGGGCATTGAAACAAGTGGTCTGAGATGCATGCCTGTTTGAACAAAGCAGAAGGGCATATGGAGACAGAGAATGAAGTGCAAGATTGTTCTATAGGAGCACAGGAAGACTGCCTCACTGCTTCCTGTGTCAATTCAGGCAAGGCTTGAGTGAGTGATACTTTACTGTATGGGTTGACATTATGCTGACTATTAAAATAGAAATTCAAGTGGTGTGAGATTGACCAGGTCATCAAGCAGTTGACAAAAACCAACGACCCTTCTGTCCGCTTCTGGCAAAAGATGTTGCACTCAAATGTCTCAAAAAGGCTAGAATGTCTTCAGGTGAAGGCCAGTTAGATGTTAATGAAAACGCCCATTGCTCTGAGGGTTTCACAACCAGGAACACCATTTAGTAAGCAGAGAAGCTTACCAAGTGCCTGCTCCTTGTTGATACCCAAGCCCTGGTATTTGCGGAAGGTAATTGCAAGAAGAAGAAGAATGAATGACAGCGAGTTTCGGATTCTGGCTTTGCTCAACCTCCTCGTGGGCTTCCGGCCTCTTTGTATAATTCTGCATGGTTGGCTGAACAGCTAACTTCTATTGTCAAGGCACTGAACGTGGACGATGAGTTCGACGAATTTGCTGCATTCTTTTGGAATTAATTGATATATCTAGTCTACGTATTTGGAAATGCCAAGTAATATATAACAACATCTGAATGAAAGGGTGAAGTTGGACGAGTTGGAGGAGGAGAACTTGAAGGTAAGTCATCATTCACATGATCAGGCAGGATAGCCGCCGCTCATCTGCCAAGCATCTGTGGTCTGTCTGCCGATCATCTGCCACTCACCTGCCGCTTACCTGTCGCTCATCGGAAGATCATTGGCAGACTAATTTTTTCCTGGCCCAAAAAGGAAGTTTAAAAGAGGGAATTTCCGGGGAGCTTTCCTTTACTCAAAAAGGTCACCTTTTTTTAGTAGACAGAAAGATATGGACAAAGGCTATATTTTAGATGACCTTTCATGAGCAGAGAAAGATGACTTTTTTTTGCAGCTGAAAGGGATGCAAAAAGTAACTATTTTTGTTTCTGTTTCCATTCAACATCAGGAAGCACGGGTCCTGAGTAAATAGCACTACAGTAGCTTCGATAGCAGCTGTAGTAGTGTAGACAAGGTGCCCACTATATAGCACTGCCATAGCGCCCCATAGCAAACAGTCATAGCTATGGCCCTGCTCCCATAGCAGCTCATATCCTCCATACCTACATACAGCGCTATGGGCAGTACACTGCTATATTGACTATTGATACTATTGTATTTCATCCCTGGGTGCAGAAACTGGAAATAAAATTGCAATTTCTGTTGTCTAATGCTACGATCGTCGTCTTCAGACTCCGTATCTCCCCCCCTGCCTTCCTGCTCTTGACGAATCTTTTCCTTGATGGCATCGGTAACGAAGGCCTCGACCGACACTTGCTCGTCAGTCATACCAGCGGCGACCCTGACATTTCTTATCAGCAGCCAATTCAAGTCAAGTGCAGAGTATACCGAAGGCTCCTTGCCCATTTGGTGCGTAATTTGTCGGAGAAGGCAAGGTCCACGGAATTCCATAACATGATGTCAAATAGCATGGCGTAGTATTTCGGCGTGACAACTGTCTCCTCAAACTTCTGCTGGATGCGGACACCCGTCTTCCACTCATCAAGACAGTGCTGAATCTGGACGACAACATTAGATGCTTCCTGATGAAATGAAATACATTATTTCTTTTACCAGAAAACATGGATTTAAATAGCTAGTTTCAATTCACCTTTCTGTTGGAAAAGAAATTTTTGAATGTGCCGTGTGAGTCAGTCATTTTTCTTAGTAATAATTAGTTAAAAAAAAGACTTCATTTGTTTTCTGACATTTTTCGGGCAAAAGTTGGCAAAAAAAAAGTTCAAATTTTTTACCTAACTTTTCACAGGGAAAAATTCCGGAAACGGCCCAGTGTGTGTGTTGTGTCTTTGTTGAGTGCATCTCTCTTGGCTGAATTGCACATTTCTGCCACGCATGTCACAGGTCACAGGCCCGCAGAATTGAACGAACTAGTACAGTATCCATCTCCATGTGGTGACTGATTGATTATTAATATCTTGCTTCACCAGGTCCCATCCGGTTGAAATTCCATCAGCCAAACAAGTGTAAATGTCAGGAACAAACATGAACAAACAAGTCACACTAATATGATAGCCTGCATCCTCCCGGCTTGCTTCTCTGCGAACCGTTTGAATTAGTTTACAGTGCTAAGTGCATTCCTGGCTTCTGGCTAATATTTACGTCTGGTGCCAGTGGAGCTCCAGCTCATGCCAAGCCTCAGCTGGGCCCCAGCCTTTACACAGAATTTGATAATGGAAATTTAAAGTGAAGCAAGGTCTCCACGGACCACATGCGGCTGCATGTGCCGAAGGCCACTAGTTATTTTGGATCATTAATGTCTATAACTGTTAACCATGGGCTGCTGCCACAGTTACATAACCTCCTGGTCTAAGGTTGTCGAGGTGGTGTCAAATCTGGCTAGATACTGGGGTTGTTGGTAGCCAAAAGGAGAAAAAATCACACTAATATCCAATGAGATATCCCCGTACAGATATGCATTTTTATAGCTCATAAAGTGTAATTTTCGACAAAATTCTCAAATTACTCGATAATTATAGCATCAAAAAGTGCCAAACTTGGGACATTTCAAGGTATCATGCATATCTGACCACCTATCGATTTTCAGCTGAATTCATTATCATTTCAGTGCACAGTAGCACAATGGAGATTTTGTATCACATCGATGACCCGAATAGGTAAGATGATGACTAATTTCCAGTAAGTATTCGCAGTAACACAAGTATTTAGCGTCAAATCTAGGGTCGGGCTCCCATGAGAACCGTCTCAAACCGGGTACTTATATCCTGCAACCACGCAGGCAGCAGGCTAACGCATCGCCGATGAACTTTTCACCAGCAACCCTCCATGGGCCCGAGTTCAATTGGGAAGTGACCACTCGTGATGGTTCACTCAACAACCACATTGCCTCCGATGCTTCACTCAACAACCAAATTGCCTCCGATGCTCAGCTCCTAACCCGCGTATCGCGCGCGTGCACACACTGCCACGCCAGCAAGACCAAGGTAAGTCCTATTATCAGGATACATAAATAAGCAGCGACTGAGCACAAGTTTCAGTGTATGTCCCAGTCACAAGCCGAAGAGTGCGTACGGTGCCGGAAGAGCGGCCGTGTATGTATCTACGAGCCGGTACCCCGGCCGGAGAGAAACCATGACCGGCAGCCACCACGAGCCGGAACCACTAAAGGACGGGTTAGGCCAGGGAGAAGGCGTTTGCCTGCACCAGTATTGCCGCGCGGTGCGGCTGATCCCGAACCAATGGCGCCATCTTCCATTGCGGCTGATTCTGTCCTCGAGGCCTGCGATTTCAATACCGGGTTTGATTGGCAATCCTCTGCAGAATCAGACACATCAGCATCGTTCCGCCGGTCGACCATTCCGCCATGGCCAACTACCAATGGGCTCGACTTCCTAAACTCCAAGTCCGTCGGTGATTGGCAGTGGCCCGGGTCCGCGGTCCGGGGCGAGTCGCTCGCGCCAAGTCAGCCGCACCTCGATTTCGACTGGCAAATGAGCACGGCTTCGGCGCCGGCCTCTCCGTCCTTCAATGGCAATCATTATGGAGCCAACTTCGGCTTCGGGAGGTGATGCCCACCTCCATGAAAGCACGGGCGTTGCCTTCGCTCCCATGTCCACAGGAAATGTTACCGGCCCGCTCGGCGATGGCGCCGCTACAGCACCAGCACATTGGCAGAGCCAGGCGACGGACACGCCGCGGGCGGGGGAGCCTTGTCTCCGCTCGCGATTGGCGTGGTTGCTATCAATGGCCTGTACTCACAGTTAGAGACCCGGTGCTTGAAAGGGATTTGTCATGTACATACGAGTACTTTGTACCAGGAGTGAATCGATGTCGATGTGGACTAGCCCATGTCGGGGGTGAGGACGTTGATGTTCTATGTGGATTTCGGATGGGCGCACAAAACCCGCTGCTGTCGTCGGAGTCGGGTAACGAAGCGTCGGAGGGGAAAAACCGACAGATGGAGACACGGGGCTATGCGCCCTGGATCTGCCGGTCGCCACGTTTTTGTGGTAACACCGACCGGGTGTCTCTCCATAGAAGCAAGTACGGCGCTTGTTTTCGTCGGGAGCATGTCCATATCTGTCAACGCGAGTGCCACGTCCGAGTAATCCATCATCAGGGCAGGACTCGGAGGCACCAGGAGGAGCGCGCGTCGGAGATAGTCCGTGGACAGGCTGAGAGCGGGCGCTTCAAGAAGGAGAAAACCAAGACGCGTCATCGTGCCGTCATCAATTCACACAGTCACGAGTTAATGACTCAGCGTGTCAACAAACTTTTCCTTCCACCCTCATGACGGAGGCAGCCCTCCTGAGCCGCGGCCGCTTTCCAGCGTCTCCGTCCACGAGGCTGAGGGAGCGACCACGCAAACGGATGTCCTCTCTTCCCAGCCTCATGTCCCGCGGCGAAGACCGGCGCGACCCTGACGATGCCAGATAACCTCGCCACGCCGGCGGGATTCCTCATCGATTTCAGGGTAAGTAGGGTTCTCTTCCGTCACCCGGGCTCCTTAAATGACATGTTCTGTGAACGTATCCTCGCGTTACGGACATGTTTCCTTCCAATTCCCCTGCGCCGCCGAATCCTGCTACTCCTGTTAACGCGCCGGTTTCACCAACCCCTCAGACTGGTGCCGCCCCGCTCGCCCAAGAGCATCCGCACTCCCACTCGCACCCCCACTCACACGGTCAGCCGCATACGCACGGGTCGCAAGCCATGCTCATCGCTGTGCTCACGCGCGCGCTCGACGACAAGCAGCGCGAGGTGGACGGGCTCAACCGCGAGGTCGAACATCTCAAGCAGCACCTTATCAAAGCCGGGGTATGTCGTGACCTCATTCTTGTCATCTGTTCCTCATGTTGCTGTAGCATCATGTCCACTCCGCCCCTCGTCAGGCTGTCCCCGCCCCGGCGCCCATGACGATGCCGGCGCCGACCCCGATGCCATTTCGTGTCGAAGAGGGGAGCTCGAAGGGCAAGGGGAAGGAGGTGAGTCGTCTGATTTCACTCGTTAAGGTATTGGTTCATCCGTTTGCCCAGAAAGCGCATTTCCCGAGCGACATGGACCGCGAGCGCGACTTACAGCAGGCGCTCGAAGACTATAAACTTGTACGTCTTCCCTCGCTCCCATAGCTTTTGCACGAGGCTCAGCGACTGTCTAGAGCATGAATTCTCTCATGGACACCAAAAGCCTGCAGGCCGACCTCGACGCCGAGATCGCGAGGATGCAGAGCATGCTGGTCCGCTCAAGCCCTTCCTGTTTCCGCTTCCACGCCGCATACTGATATAGCACTAGCCGAGCATGACGATGCCAGACCTGCCAGCCATCGGCTCTTCGACCCATCAGGTGCGGGCCTCAAGGCTATATAGTACTTGATGGCTGACTTATGACATACCGACAGCGCGCTCTCGACCAGCTCGAACGAGATTACCAGCACGAGATCGCTGAGTCAGAAAAACTACTTCAGGTGCCCACGCTTACTACTTTTGTCATTATTTTCAGACTAAGTGTGTGTCAACAGTCATCGTCGTCGGTGCTCAAGGGGGGTGCTCCCTGGCGCACCCATGCCCACTCCAACTCCCACTTGCATACCGGCGGCATGCACATGCACAGCCATTTGCCGCCCGCCAGCGCTAGAATCCGAGTGCCAGAGCTCGCACCGGGGCCGCGGGACGACGCATTCCTCGCCCAGCTCACTCGGCAGATGGTGAACCACGCCCCATCACCACCACCTGCTTTCTAATCGCCTCACCGTAGCTCGCGGCAAACCCCGGCCTCGACGAACAAACAATTATGGTGCTGCTTAAAGATGCCGCCGCCGCTGATGCGCGCAACGCCGGCGCGGAAGTACGTCGCTTTCTTTGTTTCGGTCTGTTTGATGATTGATCGATGCTGCACAGGCGTCGGGTTCCGGGTCGGGCGATGTGCATCTTCGCGATGCGATGCAACTTGTTTCGCAGAGCGCGGTAGGTTTCGCCTCCTACCTTGTACCGTGACCCACTCATCTTCTCAGCCCCTTGCTCCGGGTGCATTCCGATTCGCGCCGGGTCCAGTTGCTGGCGCCCTCCAAGCCCCGGCCCCGGCATTGGCGTCGGCATCACCGTCTGTTTCCCGTCCGCCCGCGGCCGACAAGACGCAAAACTCAGAGGAGATGGTGCGCTGCCTCTGTGTACCGCGCTACTATATATTTCTCACTTGCCTATAGCAGAACATGGCCGACGGCGCCGATGAGCTAGCCTCACTGAGCGCGATGATGTCGGACGTCGAAGAGGACGACTCGGACGATGATGATGATGATGGACACATGAGTACGATGGCAGTGGTGTGTGTCCGTCTTTCTAGTGTTTCGGCACCTGGCTGACGATTGGTGGTGTGGCAGAGTAATAGCCCGAGCCCGCCGCCGCCGAGCGAAGGCCATGTCGCGTCGGCGTCGACCGCGCAAACGGGGGTGTGAATATAGAAAATATCATGGCGGGATCAAGCGGAAAGTTGGCCGGTAAAATAGAGACTAGGTCAGAATTCTGACTGTAAAAAATAGAAATAGCAGTATGCTTGCGTGTGTTGAGACAATTGTGTTTGTACGTCTGGACCTAGCGCGCGTAGCATTCGGTGTCGCCGCATCAACGGAGCGCTCGCAGTGGATCGACTTAATCAGACCAACTTGAATGGGAGATGTGGCAAAATCAGAAAGCAAGGTGTATATTTTATTGTTATCTGAGACAGTTGGGATGGTTTGGGTACCGGTCAAACAAATCACGCGGACTTTCTCAATGACCACCTGGCTGGAGGAATTCTCACGCCTTCACAACATCTTGGTGTGTTACGTGTATCTTTTGCATCACCCCTTTGGGACAGTGATCAGTGGTCGTTTTGGTTGTGGGAATCGAATTGGGCTCCCGATCGACGGAGGAAAGGTGTATAAGAACCTCCTACTTGACGGCCAAGGTTCTGCACTACCTCAGCAGCATGAACTCCTGTGGTGTTGGTCCCGGGCCCTCCAGAGGCTCCAAGTCCGCGTCGTCCACCATTAGGAGATCGAACGCGTGGCCCCATGAAAACGCGGTTCATCATGCACGAGTTCCCGTTCGCGTCTTGCGCGCGTGCACGTACTGTCGCGCCAGCAAGACAAAGGCGAGCGCTCCTGCCAGTGTCTCTCTACCTATGACGATGATTGACCCATGGCCCCAGTGTATGACGGAATCCGAGGCCGGGGGGTGTCTGCGCTGCCGCAAGAGCAAACGCGTGTGTGTTTACGAGCCAGTGCCAGTGGGAGGGTCGGAGAGACGCAATGACCGGCGCCCACCACGTATCGACTTGGATACAAGACCACCGCAAGGCCGAGCTCGGGTACGGCGAGGAAGAAGGCGGCTGCCTGCGGCACCACCGGCACGCGCCGCTGTGCTTGAGACAGCGTCGAGCGCGTCCAACCACATTGGCTCCCCTGCTTCCATTGCGACTGAGTCTGAGTCCCTCCTTCAGGGCTGGAATTCCGGGCTTTATTGGCAATCCTTGACAGGAAGTTCGCGCTCACCGACTACCCCCTCTACATCAACATCGACGATCATGATGCCACCACCACAGAATGCTGAGGTCTACCCGGAACCGCTTCAGCCATACCGAGGTGCGACTGGCACTGTTTCGTTACTGGAAGAGGTACCGAGTGATGATTTCAACTGGCCGGCGAATTGCGGTGCGGATGCCGCCGTCCATCATCCAGTCGATTCTTCGGCTATCATGCCATGGGACGTGACCAGGGAGTTAAGCACACTGAATCCAAACTCCATCGCCAACTGGCAATGGCCGGGTGCCGCGAGCCGAGGCAACGACAATCAGATGCACTCTGGTTGGCAACCCGCTCCATGCTACAATAGCAATGAAGCTAACTTCGACCCCAATGGAGCTAGCTTTGCATCCCATCAACGCGCGTGCGATGCCTTCCCGATAATGTCATTCGCATACGGCGCCGGGCTGCCGGATCGAGGCAGCGGCGATGTTGCGGCAGCAGCAGCAGCAGCACACTCGCACCGGCACGCAACCGATGTGCAGCCCTGCATATGTTGGACATTGGCATGGCTGTTGTCGACGGCCTGCACCCATAGTTAGACGGCTAGACGGTGTTATAATATATATAGTTACCCAGTAGTGAGTCCATACGCTGCGAGACAGCCAGAGTACGCCATCTTGTCCGCCGCCTCTCCGCCACATCCGAATTTGCGGCGCGTGCGTCACTGCAAGGCTGGGGCACGCGGGGCTACGCCGCTCGAGATGGTGGAAGAAGTCAAGCACTGGCATCAATTCCCACAATCACGATCCGTCGAGTTAACGTCAACAGTCATTATCCAGTGGTCGGCAGTTCGAATCCAACACAGATCCATAGCGACAAATAAAATATGTGGTCCTTATTTGTCATGAGAACTAAAGAATAACCTAAATAAACCAATATGATCTCTTTCTGTTTCTTTTAAAACCACTTGAGTGGTAATGGGCAAAGAAAGCAGGACAGAAGATTTAAGGAATTGACAATAAGGAAGAATAAATCAAGACTTTTTTTTTGGTTATTGCGGTTCAAGAAAGATGGGTAGCCAAAATTGTAACAGGAAAAGTGTTGGGAATCATCACTGGCCAAAGCTTAACAAGCTGCCTATATGACTTTTGTATCACATCCAGCTTGGCAAGTACTAACCCATTTCATTCAATTACTAGCAGTGACTGTCACCAAAATATTTCAGCAGGTCAGAGCTCACGGCCAATTTTTTGGTTTCAAAGTGTGGATATACTGTAGTCATTTATTCAACGCTTTTAAATGGTGTGACATCGGTGCTATAATTAAATTTCCAGTGCCACCTTGTGATATGTGTGACAGGTATCACTGCATTCAAACTATGTGGCAGACCTTGTCTTCCCATGTACCTTCATGGTCTGGACCCATTGTAGACTCTAAAGTGGACAACATCTTTTCAGAGCACGGTGAAAGATATAAACTGGGTTTGGAACTATTTTATTGAGCTTTATATATTTTGTTTCCCTTACTATCATTTGATTATTGTTATTCCCCAGTACATCAACTATGAATCTTACATCACTCTATACAGCCAGCTTAGGTCAGAGCCAAGATCATGAACATAGATCCAATACTGCAGATTGAACTGGCTCAGAGTACGATTCTGGATGGGTTTCTTATGTACAGTCTTTGCTGCCAACATACTTAGCAGAACAGTCAACCACTTCTGCTACCCCATTATGGTATACAAGAAAACCGGTTTAACCAGGCTCTTGACCGATATAATCTTGACATGGCTGTGTATGGGCAACCACAGAAGCTTCATGCCTGCTGTGACTGTTTGAGGTTTATTTAGGAGAGATTTGTAGGTCAATATTATCAGTTAAATCTTTTTAATAATTTGTAAATCGCTTTGGGAAAATTTCTATGGCTCTGTCACAACCTATATTGCGGCATACTCTGATGCGCTCGACACGGATCATAAACAAATTTGGTTTTTGGTCTTGTACCTTCGATCCGCGGATGCCTCCACATGTACGGCAGCTGACTGGGTGCGCAATTGGAAAAAGCGAACCCTCAAGAGTGGTGCGCTTGCGGCCACCTATACATTCAATGATCTCATCACGGAGCTGGACCTCTCATTCAAGGATACGAACATCGCACAGGCGGCGCATCTGAAGCTGACGACTACTCGTCAAAATAAGATGTCGCTGACCGATTTCTTCCAGTCATTTGAATTGCTGGCAGAACAGGCTGGCTATAGTCCCAATGCCAAGCCATATGCATATGATGTGTTCCTGATCCAGCTTCTCGAAGAGTTAGTCAATACGGAGATTACTGGTCCTATCTATGTGGGAGGCACTGCCCTGTCCAAGACCTATTTGGAATGGAAAGAGCATCTGATGCAGATCGACGCAAACTTGTCTAGGAACAAGCTACTTTGGGCCGCCGCGGACAGACGTTTGGATTCATTCCCCAGTTCCAACGTACTCCGCCCGCTGCTCCACGTGCTCCAGTACCACAAGTGGCTGCGCCTGCTAAGGACCCTGATGCCATGGACGTCGACCGCGCTCGACAGAAGTGGAAACCTCTGCGCTGCTTCAACTGTGGCAAAATTGGCCACATTAGTCGCAACTGCCTGGACCCCCCTCAGAAAAATCTCAGCATCAGGGCCTTGATGGCTCAAGTTGATGAGGGTGACAAGTTCGACGGCACGTTAACGCAGTTGATCCAGAAGTTGCGCGAGGCAGGTTTTTAAAGCGCTCCTCTCCCCTGGCCAAGGAGACGGAGCGATCTGAAATTGTTGATTCGAAATATGGACGTTATTCTCCTCTCAGTAAATTAAATGCGACTCCCGATATGCCTGCTACGGACTCTTTTTATGGTACCGACTCGGACATGTTACGAAAGGACATACATGAATTCCTTTACAACTCTCGTCGTATCCATGTTTTGCAAAATCAGAATCGTCTTCATAACTTAAAGGAACAAAAGCGTGCTGAGAAAGATGAGTGGTGGACTGAGTTCCAAAAGGCCTGCGGAGAAAAAACCACATCAACAAAGACTGAGAGAGGAAGTGAGGAGGCGGAGGCTGATGTGACTGTACCTCCAGTCCCAGCGCACACTAGGGTTCGAGACTCTATCCGGATGCAAGAGGCTGCTGCGCGACAAGCTAGATCCAAGCCAGATCATCTTAGTCAGGAACTGAAAGACTTTCAACGGGAACGTAAACACTATGAGATGTTGGTTCCAGTAACTCTCATGGTTCCCGAGACTGGCAAGGTCCGCGCAATTAAGGCTTTGCTTGACAATGGTTGCACAATGACCTGCATTGACCGAGCATATGCCCAAGCTGAAGGATTTGAGTTGAAAGAGCTGGACTCTCATATTGTCGCCCGCAACGCAGATGGCACCGAGAATACTCATGGCAAAATAACACACTATGTCGAACTACGCATGGGTGTTGGAGATCACTGGGAAATGCAACGCTTTCTTGTCACTGGACTGGGTAAAGCCCGTGTCTTCATTGGATACGATTGGCTTTTCAAACATAACCCTGAAATTGACTGGCGTTCCCAAAAGATCAAGTTTTCTCGCTGTCCGGTTGAATGCAATGCACGTGATGAAGAGTTCCAAGCTGACCCTGATCTGGAAGAAGGAGAGTCGATCTTGCTCGTGGACTTTGGTCCAGCAGTTGATCTCCAACTGAAAGAGACCCAAGCGCAACGAATGGCTGAAGAAGCTGGTCGAGACAAAGAACGAATGACCGAGGAGAAGATTCCCAATCAGTATCGAGAGTTTGTCAAAGTGTTTGCCAAAGAATCATTTGACTCTCTACCTGAACGTCGTCCATGGGATCATGCAATCGAACTCAAGCCAGACTCTAAGGCTGTAGATTACAAAATCTATCCTCTGTCTTGTGGTCTGCCTCCTTCTTTGTCAAGAAAAAAGAT